AATCCATGATTTGGGCTCAAATTTTAATGGTGATCAGAGAGTAAAAATTGGGGGAAGAGTCTAGTAGAAGAAGCCTAAAGTTCAATTTAAAGATGATATTTTGGAATTTGCTAGGCTTGATAAATTAAGTTTATCAGTAATTTATCAGATTGCAATCTTGGGAAAGAAAACAGAAAAGAAAATCTGCTGAAATATGCAGGGGCAAAGCAAAGTAAAAACTATAAGGAGGAGATGATATGATGCAAGCGGTTACACTGTAGGGAAGAGCTGGGCTTGCGTTTAATGGAAATAAACAAACAAACACAGTGACCAGTTGGTATGTACAAGAGCAAAAACCATCTTCAAGCCAGCAAACAGGGACAGTACAAACCTATAAAGAAACAATGTACAGCACCTTGTGCGATGAAGAATATTTCAAAGGTAACTTTCAAGATGTCCCAGCTGCTCCTGTTCTCCCATGACTTGGGACGTGGAGGCTCTTCAGAGAGCTTGCTGGACCAGGACTTCTGTGGCCACCAAGGCAGGAACAGGGGAGAAATCTCTCAGCAGAACCCTTGTTGCACAGTCGCACTCTCTATGTATAAGCGGTGGAGGTTCCCTTTGTGCCCCAGAAGATGGTTTTGGCATTAGTTTCTGAATGGGACCATGTGGATGCCATTATGCTTGTGTAGTACCTAGGGTGGCCTACTTGCCTCATTCCCCTTTGTTTGCCTTAAGAGCTGAGGGCTGCTCACTGGATCCCTTTTAAGCTGGGAAGTGCTACAACACGTGAATGTGAAATCTAATGTCATATTAGAGGGTTTGGTGAAGAAAAAAAAAAAAGAGTTGTGGGATGAAAGTATGTAATTGCTTGGTCACATCACAGGAAAATAATTTCTGCTTTGTGGGTAGGTGAATTGGATGTGGAGGTAAAACGTGATCTTGAAAACAGAAAGTAAATAACTTTTTTCTGACAAAGAGTACCTATTCCAGGCCTCAGGAAGAGTATATAAACTGTAGAACAAGTTCCAATAAATGAGGAAGATAAATTTCAAAATGTCTTTTTTTGGGTAAATATATGTACAAAGTAGTCAGTTGTTTGTCATGAAGTGATTCCCTTGGTGGATTTACTAGACAAGAGCAGATAGAAAGAAGGGATGGGAGAAGTCTTTACGTCTCATCTCAGAGGAGCAGAAAGTAAGCATCCTTTACATACCAAATTCTTGCCTCTTCCAACTATAGTCATTTAGATGTGAAGATCTAAAACTCTTTGATACTTAGAAAAATGTGAATCTCTATTGGATTGAAACATTCTTCTTTGGGGGAAGGGGAAGTGGTATATTTTGAGTGAATGTTTTGCCTGGGAAAACCCCTGTGTTTGCTTGGCCCTTGTCTTGAGTTGCTGAGCTAAGCAGGAAAAAGAAACCTTTGGAAGAGGTTGCTAATAGCTGGTGATGTGAAGCAGTGTTTCATCTTATGATATGAGTTAAGTCTTTCTCTTACCTCTTACAGGTAGTCATTTTAAGATGGAAGAGACATTCGCTGAAGATGAAGGTAAATGGTTTCTTCTTGAAGATCTGAGGAGAATTCTGCTTTTCTTTTTCTTTCTTTTTTTTTTAATGATTCCAATGAGCACGTATGATTAGAGGCTAATAATTCGAATAAAATCAGAACTGCTATCTTTTTAAAAACTGATGCTGAATACATTCCCCACTCTTAAAAATATTGCAAAAGTACTGATTTATTTTACAAAACACTTCAACGTCATCTAATGCAAAACTTTAGAAAAATGACAGGCATTGCTATTTTAATATGAGGGTGCAAGTAGTGCTAAGGACTACTAGTGTTTTCCTTAACTGGTATTTGACATTGATTGTCTCTTCCTTAAAGAAAGCTTTCACGGAAAGAGTCAGCAACAGCATTTGCTAACTGTTTTTATTTAAAAAAAAGAAAAAAAAAAGAGAGAGAGAGAGATCTGGAAACAGTCTGTTGTTTTTATAACTTGCAGTATCAGATGCCAACCTATCTTGAGACTGTATGGCTCAGGTCTTTATAGCCCCATGAATCTTCTTAGGGAAATGTCGGCTAAATATCAACAGCTAATTAAATTTGTCTGTGTTCCTAAATATGATAGAAATGTTAGAATCAGCTACAGGGACAGCTGTCACCTCTTGATTATTGTGAGACGATGAGTGGACATGTTCCATGAACCTTTGAACAGGTGCAACCTAGACAGGTTTATTACAACATGATAGCAGTAAGTACAGAAGTATGTGAGGCATTGGGATCTGACAGGGTGATTGTAGAGACAGAATACATTAAATATTTGGAGGTGTCAGTTTGGTTCTGTCGGTTCACATAAATTGACGTCTTTCAGGGAGGTCTGAACTATCAAGGGCAGAGTCATTTAAGATATGAATTCAAAAGAGGATTCTTTTATCACCACTGTGACAAACTTGCCCACTTTTATATGTAGGAATCTGTCTGAGTGTAACTATTATATTTTTCTACTCTACTGCATTTTTACCGTGTATCCAGTATCCTCTGTTATTGGTACTTAGGATGTAAGGTTAGATGCTTAACATTTTTGTCTGTCCTTGGAATTTGGGGAAAAAAGAGATTGTCCTACTTTCAGATTACTATATTATCTTTTGTATTGTGGTGAGAACGTGAGTTTGAGCCCGTTTAACATTCAGGAGGAGGGGTTGTTTTCAGGAAATTTAATTGCTGTGAAAAGCCTTTTGGCAAACAGCAATGAGATCCAGTGCAATGCTACAATCTGAATGCCTCAAAGGTTTTGCCTTTTTCCTTACATGCCACAGTAGAACCATGATTGATTTGACAGCTCGTTATTTGCCCAGATGCTACCACTGTAAAGCATATTTTACTCAGTCCTTACTTTTATTACTTACTTAATCCTTACTTTCATTTCTGAAACACTACACTTTCATACTCTGTCAAAGGTGAGAGTAGCTCTTGATTCAGGAAGGCCGGTTGTCAATAAGCAGTGAATAGGAAGTATGTAGAAAAGGCAACTAACAGAGCTGTGTGGTATATGTATTCATAGAGAAGAATCTCATAACAAGTCATAGTGAAGATGGAAAAGGATAGATGAATTAGAGAATAAATAAGTGAACATTTTCAGAATTGTAGTCCTGTATTAGGGTCAAAGAATGTCCTGAAATCCCTGAGATTGTGTAGTCATAAATTAATTTATACTCGAACAGTAGTGTAAAGAACTAGTCCTGTTAACACAGTGCAGGATCCTTACCTGGTCTCTCATTTTTCCAATTCATTTGAGTTTAGGGAAGAGAGAAATTGTTATGAGCCAGCCAGCAAGTGGATCAGCTGATAAAAGACCTTGCTGGTGTCTTGGTGTATGACTAGTTGTTACACATTTTACTCTGTGTGTTCTTTCTTTGTGCTGGATGGTTATTTGTGCCTTTCTCTCTCACTTTGTAATTCTTACAGCTTCTTTATTTCAACCTCAGTCCACCAACCTTATGTGGAAAAAAAAGCAAAAGAACAAAATGTTTATAAATTATCATGCCCTTTATCCTTCATATTGTGTCTTTTCCCTTCCATACTGTAACTGCCTCATCTGCTTAGTCTGAATTTTAAACTGCGGGCTACCAATTATTTCTTGTTCTCTATACAGTGGCTGATACAGTTGGGCCATCTCTGCTTCTGAGTGTTCTTGTAATATATGCTTTTCTTATAAACAATAAAATGAGATAAGGTAGACAGTGGAAGAATCTCACTTTGAAACAATTATACTTTTCACTTCATACATCCTACTTGTGTATAGTTTTGAATTGGCTTGCTCAAAGAGGTGCAAGAAATCTAGAGCAGTGAACAGGAGCTCTCTGTAAAAGTGACTGGGGTTTGGAAGGTAGGGGTGTTCTTGCAGTGAAAATAAAATGAAATTGAGGGAATTTGCAAAAGTAAAACAGCAGAAAGGGATGCAATTCATGGAAAATATTAGAAAGCCAGAATAAAAGTGTCTTAATTAAGTATCTCATATTTGACAGTTTTAACCGACTCCCAACTTTCTTGAATGTGCAAACTGTAGAAGTGAAAATATTAGGAGTGCAATCTCCACAAAGTATAGCAGTGGTGAGAATTATTTGTGACACTGCCAATTAGAGAAATTTCAGTCAGAAATATGATTACTAAGTAGATAGCATTCATTTATAATTAATAAGTCGAATGAGTTCTATACACAAACTGAATATTCAATATGTGAAAAGGATATTTTACCTGTTAAGTAGACCAAAAGACTGATTGTGATTTGTGCAATCATGGATTCTCTGTGGGAATTACTCTTGCTCAAAGAAAACTACCTGCGCCTGTGCTTTGTGTATCTGCACAACCTGCAAGCGCCTTGTAATTACACTGGCTGCAAAGCTGGTGCTGGGAAACTTAGATTCCTTTCTATACGCAAATGGACTGAATATTTCTATGCCTTGTGGCAGGAGTGTAAGGTGTTGCTACTGACCCCCTACAGGTTTTGCGTAAAATCATAAACAACATTGTTCTTTGTTGTAATATTGAAACTTGTTTTTGGCGTGAATGTGTGCTGACAATTTGGCTGCATGTATTACTTTTTTTTCTTTTTTCTCTTTTTTTTTTTTTTTTTTTTGCCATTGAACATATTGTTCCAGTCATCTCTCTCTGGTGTGCCTGATCGAATTAATATTTAACTTTTTATAGGCTGCTGGTTTAGCAGGATAATTAAAAACCTCTTAAATCAAGAATATAATACAAAGGGGTTTTTTTTTAGAAAAATCATTATACAGAGAATGAGACATCTATAAAAATCTGTTTATGAACAGTGTCTGGAAAACAAAGACTGTGAAAAGCTTGCAAGAGATTTTTTCCTCTTGCTCAGAATCCTCTTGGTATTTACTGAATATTTTGTTTTCTGAGTAATAAATAATAATCTTTAACTGCTCTACGCTTCCTGTGTTTCTGGATTTGTCACTCCAACACAGCTGTAATTTTGTCAGCACATGGACTGTATGAAACAGTGTTTTTTTAAAGTTTTATTTTGGACAACTGTCCTAGCCTGTGCCAGAGACAGCATTTTTTTCAGAGTAATATAGTATACAATCTTTCAAGACTGTCCTAAAAGCTTTACTGGTCTTTGGATCATGCCCTGGTGTGGGGAGAGGGAGGATTAGGTAGACCGAGTGTAACTAAAAACACTTGCTCAGTATGCTAAAACAAATGTGTGCTTTACCATATATAGAAACAAAATCCTCTGTGAACTTGGACATTGTGTAGATAATATTACTTATCGAGCCTATGCTGTGGAGACAAAGATTTTAGTTGGTGGTGCTTAGCATATGCTGAAGGCTTGTTGTATGCATTTTATTTTAAAACTTCATGTATTAAGAAAAAAAGAATAATCTGCTTGTGGAAGCTTCTTGTTAACAATTTCAAAAGAAGCTATCGGAATAGCTTGCTTGGATGAGACCAGGAAAAAAAAGAAACACAAAAGGGCAAATCTGCAGAGCATGGTTGCCTTTAGAGATAAATTTTGCTGGATATATGCCAACAAAAATGTTTTATTTCCTACCATTTTATTTATAAATACATAAACCCACTACGTAAATAACAATCTTGTCCTTGTGAAACCCTCCCCCCAAAATAAAGTTATATCAAGTGCATGTGTTTTACACGCAAGTCAGATCTATACCCGACTGCACAGTTGTTCCCTTTTATATGGTTTATAGAAATTTGAACCAAAATTCTTGATCAAACGCCTCTGAGCTTTGGAACATCTGAAGCTGGGTCCAAATTCTGAGACTGGATATATCTTTAGTTTTAAACAGTCAGTAATTTAATTTCTGTTAAGAAACTTTTTCTCTATGAAAGTTGCAAGAAATGCTTCAAGCTATGTCTGTATTAGCAGGCAACGTGGCGCAGTAGGAGCAGATCAGTTGGTATTGAGGACATGGCATCTACCTAGTATGTGTTTCAGGGAGGGGCTATTTAGCTCTAGTTTGATTCTATGGACTGAATTCCCATTAATGGTTGGTGCGCGTTAGCAATGCTCGCAGAGATCATCTTCTAGTTGAATTTCATTGTAAAGGAAACCACTTCGTGCACTCTGAAGCTGTTCTGTGATGTGAACCAAAATGCAAGAAGTGGGAGTGACGGAGGGTTTATTTTCAATAGCATACTTCTGATCTGAACAGAAGTGTTAGTCTAATTTTTTTAAGGGATGAAATGAGGTTGAAAAACTGAAAAAAGTTGTTGAGTTGATGGAAACAACATAGTTTCTTTTAACTACTTTAGAGAACTTTTTAAGCTTCAAATTGTGGGCAACACTTCAGCATTACTTAAAAGACCAAAAGCATTTGTCTTGGAACAATTGATACAAAAGTACCATATAAATCAATCTGTGTGTTTTCAGATGCAATTCTTGGCTTACTCATTTGGATAATTGCAGTTTCATACAAGTTTTTAACATCTCCCAGAACAGCCCTGCTCTTTATGCAGCAGTAGCATAGCTGAGGAAAGCTTTTCACACCTGTTGATCAACATCTGAAGAGTCAAGATAACAAGCATGTGAAGTCACACTTACTATCTTTCTCTCCATCTAAAAATAAATGCCATGGCTCTCTTCAGCTTGTAATATATATATAAAATAGCTGGACACAACTGAGAGGCATAGTAGCATTAAGCTATCATGGTTTACTGGCTATGCCATTCTTAAGCTAGAAGATAAAGTGGATAGTTCTTTGGCTGGACAGTTTGTAAAGGATTAATGCCAGGAACCACTGACACCCTACCGAAATAAAGAATTCGGCCTTGAGCATGCAATAGAGAGAATTGCTCTATCTTTCTCTCACGTTTAAATCTCTATATTCAATTCCTCCAGACTGAAGTGACTGTAGGATGAGATTTCCTATTTTTCTCCTCTATCAGGATCAAGGATTTTAGAATCTGCATTAACTGAAAATATTTTCTTTCTGTTGTATTGGCGTAAAGGTTTTCACATAGGTCAGTACTTGCAATTAGACAGGCTTACCTTCTAATTCTATCAAAATCATGTCCAACCTCAAACATCTCAAAATAGCACCATGTGATCATGCAATGCCACTGAACTTTCCCTAAAGTTTTGGCATCGGATCATGTTCTATGACTTTCTTTTACGCTAACAGTTCTTGTATCTACATTTCTGAGAGTTTCCCCACATTTACAATTGATATGTTTGGCCTGTTAAAAAGAGGGAAGTTTGGGGTCTTCAGTTTTGAAAGCACATGCTCTCATTCAGTTTTAGAAAGCTAATTTTGCCCACGTTACATACTCAAATACCTAAAACAAAAATTATGTTTCATTCTTGCCAGTGGTTTGATAAATTTGAAGCATACTCCTCTGTGAGGCTGAAAATGCCAAACTTCTATTATTGTCAAGTCACTTGACACTCACACTTTCTCATTTTTCATACCAGTTGAAAAGAAATACAGAATCTGTATCATATGTAGTAGATTTATTTTTACCTTCAGTTACTCCACAAACAAATGAACATTAAGCAAATATTTTAAAATACCGATGACATTTTAGGTTTGTAAAAATAGACATTATGTGCACTCTCACTTTCAAAAAGATTTTCAGATTTATTTTATGGGCTTTATCAGTGGAAAAATATCAATGCTACACATAGCCTCCATGATAATGAGGAGCAGAATTATGTTTTGTGCCCAAAAATAATTCAGGAACTAACCTTTAAAAGGGTGCAACACTTTTTTTTATGTCTGCTTTTGATATGCAGACATAAATTATAAATGCAGTGACACACACATTTTTAAAACATTTAAATTCTGAAATAATACTTTAAGACATTTTGAAAAGTCTTTGAATGTGTGGACATTGTATTTCAAGCTTTGGGACTCATCTGAATTTATAAAATAAAGTATGTACAGCTTCTTATTTTGATTCCATATTCTTCTTACATTTTAAGCTTCTCGTATTGTAGAATGGGAAAAGTATACAAGATTGTTTCCCACTGAGTTGTTAATTTCTGCTAGTCTTGTAGAGTTGATATAAAATTTTGTAGATATTTCTACTTTAAAGTGGGTTCAAAATACCCCAATAAATAATTTATGAATTGTGTTGATATTTTTTGAAAATGCTAAGGTTCAGTTTGTCAGTCAGGTGTGTATATGTAGCTGGCACCTACATGAAAGCAATGTAGCCCTTAAAAATTTTCAGAAATTTATTTAAAATGGTATTCTTTCAGCCTTTTTTTTCCCTTAGGACTTCACCAGGCTTTTTAAAAAAGATTTTTCCTTTGCATATTTTAATTAACATATATTTTTAAAGTTGTCCAAGTTTTAATTTACCAGCGATAAGGATATTATGATGATATTTCTCCATTGTTTCTGTTATGGAAATTGAAACATAAAGATGCAAAAAACCAGTACCATTTTCTGCAGAAAGGTTTTTAAATTTACTTTCATTCTCAATTTGCAGTGAGTTCCTATTAGTGTTGGGTTTTTTTTCCCCTAAAAAACAATGTATGTATGTCCATGCCTCAGAACAATTTTCTGCTAAGTGATGTGAAAGCTGATTTCATTACAAATCATTAAAACAAGGTAGAACTTCTGTTTTGCTTCTTACTAAACGGTCTTTATTATACTAGCCATTTTATTGTATGACTTGATATTTATTCCTTATCACAGTTGCTGCATCAGAAAATTAAGTCGGTGTAACCCCAAATTCCAAGCAAAGTAAGCAAAATCTATTTTTGGCATACATTAATGGTAGTTGAATAATACATGGTGGAAGCAGACATGAACAACTGCTTTTCCAATGATCTGTCGAGTTCCTACATTTGTTAGGGCCCAGCCTGTAACACTTTGGCTTCGGTGTTTGCACAGATACTTAATTTATGTTAAAAATAATGTCTTGGTTACAGCACTTATGTATATGCTGCAGTAATAATTTAACACCTTAGCTGTTTCACTTTTTTTATTCCAGTACAGCTGTTTTAGTTTATACTTCATTGAGTTATATTGGCAACTTCAAAGATAACATTTTAGCAGAATTTTACTGGTATAATATGCTACTGCTGGCTAATAGGGACTTCCACCTCCCCGAATCCCACAAGAAAAGGTTTAAAGGCTGCTACTTTGGAATCAGACAGAAGTCCTGACACTTGTACTGCAGTTCTAAGCTGCTAATGGCTTTTTGTGTGCATGCATATATTTGTGCGCTAACATAAGACTAGCATTTTGGGTAAACGGTAACTGCTTCATATCCCTCCGGTGGCCTCATGCGAGCTCGTGCATGAGCTTCACAGTATAGTTGGCCCTCCACAAAGAAGTAGCCTTTTTGTTTCAGGTTGAGATTGCAGTCGGAGCACACAAAACATTCTGGGTGCCGGTATTTGTCACGTGCCTTCACCACTGTTCCTCTATATGGAAACAATTAAAAGAAAAAAACAATTAATTCGTACGAATTTAAAGTGAGAAGAAACTACAGTATGACACAAAGTATGACATTTATCTTAAGGCTTTTAGGTTGTTTGTCTGGTGGTTTTGCCAACTACTATATAATTTGAGGTTGGAAGCTGAGTTTGAGTAAGTGACATAAAATGCTGTAGAGTTGATCACATAGTTCAATAGTTCATTGGAAAACTAGAGTTTGAAGAAACATGTTAGCTCGGTTACAACACAGAAAGTACAGTCTAACCTATCAAAATGGTGACAAAATGAGTTTAAAAACCACATTTCTTTTCCTCAGTGACTGTGTTCTTCTCTGAGCTCGTCATCATCTATGTTCTTTGCTGAAGTTAGTGATGTCATTGAGATAGAAATCTGGTAGGCCCACAGAGCTTTCTGGATACTCCCACTGGGCTGGGAGAAGGATGCTTTACACTACCAAGAAACTTTTGAGAATTCACAGCCCGAGACAATGCATCACAGGTAACTGCTGGTTTCATAATGTATGTGTTAATGATTGACTTGCAAGAGGTCATGAGAAACCTTAATTAAAGCCTTGATGGTACGTTGTCAAAACTGAAATAATCTGTATCGAAAGTGTCTAAGGTACAGGTTAATAATTTGGGATTTAGAACGATATATTTTTATATCTCTGTTCTCTAGAAACATTTTTCTATTAGTGCAGATGGAGACCAAGACCATCACTTGGAAAGCATTCCTGTAGTCTGCAGTGGTGTTGGAGGACATACGCTTGAACTAGAGATTTCTAGAACTAAAAAGAAACAACTTACATAATCCCATTCCCACACTTGTCACACAGAGGCACTTTCTGGGCACCAGGCATGGCAGTAGGTATCTTTGTTACAGGTGCTTTCACACTTCTTGTACCCATGGGGCGTCCATCTGAGAACCAAAACAATCCCGTTATGTACAGGCTAATATAAAAGCATCTGATGCAGTTAAATACTTTTCCTGTAAATACACTTCTGGATGTACAGGCTTTCACTTATATCAACAAACAATGAAGTTTCTCTGTACAAGTTTAGTGGCCAGATTGCACCTCTCTGGAATCAAGAAAATATTGTGTAGCTGTAGCCAAAAAGCAAGTACAAAAATGATTATATATATAGTGCTCTGTCTCATAGACATCATCTGATTCTCTCATAGGAGGTCTTGGGTATAGCAGGAGAGGGAGGAGGATTTGGCTTTAACGTAGCGACATAACATAGTCAAGACCTATTGTTGGAAAGCTTCTTATTTGTATAACTAATCATACAACAAATTCAGAAAGATGAGCAACATGATATGAATACAAAATTATAGCAAAATACAAGAAGATGCCAACAAAATCCCACAATGATATATATAGACAATTAGAGGAATTTATCCCTTCTCTGGCCAATATTGAGATATAAAAATTAAAATTTGAAATACTTACCTTTTAGGTTAATTTTGGTTGTATTTTATTCTTTACACTTACTGTAAATATAATAAACTTGCAACCTTTAATAATGTTATTTACAAAACTTCTTCATTTGAAGGAAATACAACTGTAAATTACATTGTCCTCTTCAATTTTTATTTAGAATGAAGAGGGGATGGGTGAAACTTATTTCAGGAGTTGGTTTAAATTTCTCTTTTCTTGGATGTGGAGGAGTGTTTTCTTTCTTGGTGTCATGACTATATGCAGCTTGTCCCAAAAGTTCTCTCTCATAAAAGTTTTTATCATTCGGTTAAAGTCAGCTTTGTACATTAACAATCTTAAAATCTGAGAAGAGATTATGAAAAATGTGATTACACCCCTCCCGCCCCCCCACCCCCCATTTTATTCACACAGGAGACTGAGGAGACTGCAAGGGGGAAAACCATTCGAAGGCTGGTGTGCTGTCCGTAAGATTCAGAACAACTTGGGCTTTCAGAAATTCCTATAGCCCTGATCTCTCATATTTTCTTCTCAGATTCCCCCTTCCCACAAACATTTAAAAATGCTTTGAACAGGTAGAATATGTCATTATTAACCACCTTCCTCGGAGACTAAATTCTGGAGCACCTTAAAGGAGCCAGACTGGCGAGGCTGACTGGGCTCCTCCTGGTTGGCATGCAGCATCTTGTACACGTCAGACTGAGGCACTGAGTTGGGAGGTGGATCACTGTATCACAGGGAGGAAGAGCAGATAAAGCAGTTTAACAAACATAACTTTAAAGCAATAGCTCTACCAGGCATAGAATATGATTCAGGAACCAAACATAAAGAAACACAAAAATGTGTTTCTACAACTACTGAAAGACTCTTTCTTCCAGGTAGCATTGCTTTATATAGCCTCCTCTTGATCTAAAAAGTGCAGAAGAAAAAATCTGGGCAATTGTTACAAAAATAAATCTACAAACTCATGAAAGTATTTCCATAATTACTGTTCTGGCTCTAACGGCATTTGGAAATAGGCCAGTACCTGTGTTTAACCTCAAAGCAGTTTGCATTCCTGTAATCAACTGCCGTATTACCAGGTGCTCTTTGGTACGGTATCCAGAAGTTCCATTTTCACAGCAGCTGGCTGCAAGAATATTAAAATCACAGCTTCTATCTTTACATAAGGTCAGCCAAACCTAAGCAAACAAATCTTTTGGGAGAGTATCACGACATGAAGGTGTTCTTTCTTTGCTAAGCTGGCTCGATCAGTAGTTAATATAGTGATTATTTGGCTAAGATAATTGTTACTTACTCAATTTATGGAGATGACAAAAAAGAGTGAAGTAGGTATTGCATAGTAGGAAGCATTGTAAGGTGAACACTGATGAATGGAAATTCTGTTTCTTAATTTAATTAGAATGGGACGTGGCTTACTTTTTGTAATGCCAATTTTATGATAAAAATATAAAGTAAATGATTGTCCAAACAACAGTTCATGGTTGAATTTCCAGTGACCCATGAGCCAAAGATTTTACCAAGAATATTTCACATTGTTTTAAACTGTGCTGAGTGTTTTAAATTGATCATGATAACTAACATCTTAAGTAGTTGAGAAGAAGAGTAGATGACTATATGCACTAGCAGGAATTAGACTGAATGTGTGGCATCTGTAAATTTCAAACTGCTACTGGGACTAATTAGAAAGGTCCAGATTTACTTCGATGAAGTCTGTTATCTCACTGATATACATATATATATATAAAAATGTCCAGTTTAAATTTCCTGTTACAACTGGCCTCCTACTGTCTGTTAAACCTTAGTTAAGTTTCCACTGGAAATCAGCAACTAATTCCACATGGAATTAGACTGGATTTTTTTTATACGGTTTGATTTGTTTCCCAGGGTAATATCTAAGCTGTCAAATGGCACAGTAAGAGCAGCAGCAGTTGGGCAGTGAGCCCTGTTGCTTATGTTAATTGTTTGCATCTTCATCAATCAACAGATTTCTCTGAGCTGTCTTTAAGCTGGTGAAGAAACTACCGCTTCATTCTCGTCACAAGCTTTTAACGAATAGGAGTTTAGTTTTTACAGTTCTCACCAACGGCTAATTAAACCCTTGATTCTCTCCTCTTTACTAAAATATTTCTAAACATCAAACAAGTGATAATACAATTACATTCAGAAGGCAAAAAAAACAGACACAAAGGTGTGAGATAATATTTCTAAATGCCTACATAGTGAAAACCAATCCCACAACAAAAAAGACATTTCAAACCTGCGTAGAGTCAGTTCTCAAGCTAGGAATGCCAAAGGCATTTCTGAAATCTGATTAGTCTGGGCTTAATCCATGATTTCAGAATAAAGAAAAAGCAATTTTTTCTTTTATTGTTCTCTATTTGTTGTGATTGAGGATAACTGTTCATGCAGTAGAGTAACATCCCCCTGCAAAGACTTCATGAACTACAGTTTTCTTTTCATCAGAAAGGGGGAACTTACGATTTTTATGGTTAGTAACAGCCCAATTCTGCAAGGTGCTGAAGAAGGCTCATTGGTGCCAGTGATTATTGCTTATTTAAAATATTAGTAATTAGCTTTAGTTTACACCCTACATATTATGAATTATTAACTTAAGTACTGTTGTAAAACAGAAAAATAAGTTACTATTATGCAAAAATAAAGCAACGTGAATGATGAATTGTCCCTTGGAAAAAAAACGAATAGTGCTTTAAAACTTTTTATTGTATAATCATCATTGTTATCCAGATACATAAGGTTCCTATCTGACTTTTAGTCATTGCAATGGATAAAATTCATAAGTCAGAGATGGACTAGTAGGCCTACAAAGTCAATTCTGGCTCTTTTTGGACAAGAGCTAGTCATACTGAATGAGTTGTCCTGAATGGGAGTTAAGTATCTAGAACACTATAAACATCTACAAGATTTCCTAAGCTTCATAACCTGAATTTCAACAGTTAAAATAAATTTGAGTTAATAATAATGTTTTATTAATAAGCTATTAAATAAATAATTATGATAATAATAAAAAGCTTTGAATTTTGGAGGGAATCAGAATCTTGATTTGGAGTGGTCAGTCAGCTAATAGTCCAGGTAGTATCATCAGGTTTTATTTATTAACTACAAATATAAGATTATTTCCTATGAAATATTTTTTGTAAATTCTGAAAGACTCCTTTAATACTTTGGGTTAAAAATTGAAAATTACTCATCTTTTAATGCAAATATTGAGTGGCTTTAAATGACTTAGGTTCTCTCTAACCCTTTTACCCATTTTCATAGAAACAGTGGGATGTTATTAAAGCTAATGATTTTTGGTATATTCTAAATTCGTATATTCATAAATATTAAAGATACTGCTCTAATTACCTTATTATAGGTGTTTCCCCCAGAGCTGTAGAAACTTGGCCTTGCAGTGTTTCCATGATATTGTCATCTGAGTACAACTGCATAGGTGTGTTAAACTGAGCGTGTACAATCTTGACACCGGGAAGCTCCATTTCCAAGGGAATGTTAGGGGCCATCTTAGACACCGCTTTCAGCTCGGTAGGGCAGATAGAGCTAACCGTGCTAATTGAAGAGGGGGTACTGCGTCCACTGCCACAGTCAATCCCCGAAGGAGTGCTGCATCCACTGTGTTAATAGCCAGGTTACAGAAGAGTGTGCAATGCATGTCAGATTATAGAGAATAAAGACAAAAGTACAGGAATACGGTGATGTTAACAGGGCTGAAAAGCGGAAATAGAACGGATATAGAAAAGCAAAAGTATAGAAAGTAGAGAAAAGCAAAAGTATGTGTACTCATTGAAAACGATTTTCCTGTAAAAAGTATCAATGCCAGTTATAAAGCAGTCCTTAAAATTCTGGCATGCATTTTCTTTCAAGACAGTAATAATTCTTTGATAGATTGACTAATTCAGAATATAATATTACTTTACATTTTTAATGCTAGATTTTATTGAGGATTTATTAAGCCTCCCTAAAATAATTTGTTCTAGATGAGTAATTCTTAACATCTACAAAAGGGTAGCATACAAAGGGTCCATGAGTTGTCCATGTCAGTGACAGAATAAACACCTGCAGTACTGGAATCCTAGACACATCATTCCAGTCCTGTACCTCACAGCCAACTTAGTCCACAGTTGAAGAGACGACTATGAAGTAGTGTAAAATAATAAGTGTGACATTTCCTAGATTTCCTTAAATTCTACAATAAGATATTTATTAATCTTTTAAAATTAATTTAACAATATATTTCATTTTTTTAATATTTGTGGAATATTTCGAAGAAGAAAAGATACTAAACTAGCCAGGCATACTTTTGCATTTCTAAATTACAGTGTTGCCAGTAAAATGTAAAGTGGTCCTTCACCAGAACAATGGATGTGTATTCAGAGAATTAATTTTACTGCTTTTGAAGTCGATTTTACATATAATTTATATATAATAAAAAAGATGTACAGTTTTTTAGAAATATTAATGTTGCTTGACATTACTGAAGTAAAGTTACTGCACACCCAATTTGACATCTCTGGAAAAGGATTAGTAAAATAATGTGAACGTTAAGGCCAGAGTCTTTTTCAGTGTCACTATTTTGAACACCGCAGTCTTTTCTCCATAGCACCTCAGAGGCTTTCTTTGTTACGGGATATTTCTTTGCTGTTGCTGTGTAACAGCACATAACCCAGGCTTTCCACAGTTCATTGGCTACCATTTTTGTGATATTCAGAGCTATGAGATGACAAATGCTTAATCTCTTTCCTTCAACCTGCATATCAGGGTTGTGGTTAGTTCTTTCCAAGCTGAATGATTCTGCGTAAACCTGGAAGAATACTCTGTTTCCCAGTTTGATAGTACAGTACTCTGCCCAGTAGCTACTCTTGGGTGGAGAAGAATACCCAAAATTCTCCCATTGATTCAGAAGGGAATTTGTGTAGGACCACTTTCTCAAAAATGTAAAGGCAAGTATATACTCTACCATCAAAAACATATCAAAAGAAACCTAATTCCAGAAATGGTAGGCAAGCCTTAAAGCAAAAGCACAGTTCTGCATCCTCGCCTAGCATGAGCCAGCCAAAAAAAAAATCACACGAGGGCAACTTATAAATTTGCAGTCTTTTCTTTTAGAAGAATCAAGACCACCTTTCGATCCTGCAGTAGAATAAGTTTTGTCAGTGCTGATAGTGTTAGTAAATGGAAAGTAGCAGGAAAAGGCTAGAAAAAGCATAACTCTTGCTAGAGCAGCCAAAGTAATGTTAAAACAGAATAAACTATAAATAAAGTATAAATAAAATATAATCATATATTAAATATAATTTCCAGTTAGTTTTGCCAGAGTAAAGTCCAATATCATGGCTAATGTCAAATCTGTTAGCTCAACCCACAGGCCAGAATCAGCTTTTCTTTTAGTCAAAGTCCTATTTAGCCTCAGCTCTCTGTCCTAAAGGGATGTGTACAGGTTTGGTTTTTGCTGTGTTTAGCAGAGGATGTATCTTGAGCCAAACTGATGAAAGAGTAGCAGACAAACAGTGTAACAACCCAGATTTTGCAGATGTAACACCCTCTGTCAGAGATTCTGCAGTTTGTGAACACAGACTTCTCCAGTGCTAGAACACCTGAGAGACCTTGCCCAGCCAGAGTTCTGAACCTTGTTGCATCACCGTCAGGTTAATTTTTGCAGGTCTTTTTCCCCATCTGACATGCTGGAAAATGGCCATTTACTTCAATATTTTCACAGAAAATATTGTGTAATTGAGGTTTCTGAATTAGATTAGGCTCTTGATAGACTCATTTGAATCTCCATAAATCCAATTAGATACCTGTAAATGGTGCCTAGTGGTCCGAAAGTCAGTTTAGGTACAGTATGCAAGTGCTGCCTACAGTTAGAGGCAGCCCGTTTTGTCATTTGTCCTGTATCAACATCAGACTGCAAGGAGAGATGGGCACCTTTTCTCCGCTGCGTCAGTGTTCTACATTGATAGTTCTTGTTCACAGAAGGATGGGACTCTGTCCATCTTCTACAGTCTCCTCTTTATCACTCAGGTCGTTGAAAAATTTAACATGTCACAAAACTGATAATCCTTTGTACACAGGTATCAATTATCATCCTGTTTTTCTGGTCTAGTTTGTCAGACTTTAGTATAATTGAAAGCACTTTAAACTTTCAGAATGAAATGCAGAACACTAAGTCCACGGGTAAAAACTGCTACTGCTAGAAGGGATAAAGGGTACCATCACAATATAGTGCATCACTCAGGCACTTTTGAGCTTCCTTGCATTTTTAGCCACAGAGTTTCCATTGCTTTTTTCCCTCTGTATTTAATAATATAAATAATAGTGAGGCATTTCATCCCCAGTTATGACAGAGGAATATTACACTAAAATGATGGATGTAAATATGTACGCTTTTCTGCATTTTAGAGCTTTACATGTCTGTGGCATCAGATAGTTCTCCTATTTTAGCTCTGCATTAGGTTGCCTTCTGAATAGAGATCTGCCAAAAAGCAAACTTAAAATCTCTGAATAGCCTAGATGATACCTTATGTAACTAGCTATCTTTTATTTAGCAGGTTAACAAATTACATGTATGTGCATTTGGACAGAATTTCAGAGTGCCAGAGATTTATAAGTATACAATATATGGTGCTATGCTGTAAACTGAATCAGGTTCGTGAATACAGTTCCTTCAGACTCATATCAGTATAACTGAGATGGGAGCGTGGACCTGCTTTCTTTTGGAAATAGAAGTTTGAATTTCAAGCCTGATCTCTGCAAGTCAACCATTTCTTTTTTTTTTTTTTTTATTTTTATTTCAGTGTTAGGCTGTATACTACTATAAGCAAATTTCAAATGCATCAGTATGCTGTATTAATGTGAATAGTGAGTATCCATTAAAAAATAACACCATGCATCCAAATCCAGCACAGCACTCAGAGTTTATAACCTGCTTCGGCCTGAGACTATGAAAGGTTTGGGCCGAATATTATGCCTGTGTTCAAAGTAGTTCATATCCTGTAAAGAAAAGAGGGTTAAAATAACTTTATTTGGCCTATAAATACTTATTTCTAGTTAGAAGGTAGCTAACGAGGTTTTAAAATTGTAACCGTGAAGTAATTGTGTTTCGTTTGTACATTCCTGGTACTCAAAATATAATCAACGTTAGTGTTCAGAAACATTCAGAGTAAAGTGCAGTTATAAGAGAGAAGGATGGTAGGTAGTATTGCAGCCCAACACAGAGGGCAAATTTTAGCAACCTGCAGCGTTGCTGCTACGGAACAAATGGATAGTTTCCTGTGTTGGAAAAAATTGCTTCATTTATCACCATTTTTTTGGATAATCAATAAACTCCTGATTATCAGAAAAAAAAACAGCAAGAGCTGGACTTTTAAATTGAAAACAGAACATATAGTGATATACCACAAATGACCATGTATTATAAGTAAATACCAGTACTCACTTTTGCGATGAGTTAGGAATGAGACCCCTCAGTTGTCCATGAAGTGCGTCTTGAATATTGCCAGATGAATACAGCCCAATTGGTGAATTATAGGAGGAGCTCACTACCTGTCTTTTGTCATCAATATTTGCTGCTGCAACAAAAGGCTGGGCCCTTCTGTTGTGAGCTGTACCAATAGGCTTGAATTCCTGTACATGATAGGCAGACAAAATACACAAAGCTACAATGCACACCAAAGCTAGTAATGAGTAAATCCGACAACATCAGTATTGTTAATCTCTGCATTTTTTACTTTTGCGACTTTGTTATTTTTTAAGTGGTGCAAGCATACTATATTTTTCCATGAATTTTCTATATGCTACTTCAGCCATACACATTCAGACACTATTATTTTCCTGCCTCAGGGCAAAGAGAAGGCATTCCACATTTGTATATAGCATGCAACTTTAAGAAGAAACAGGAGGGATGAATATTATAGTAACCTGTCGTATTGTTCTCTAGATTTTGCGCTGTTTACGTTCTTCTAGAAACATTTGATGTATAGTTAACTTAATTGCTTTACTTTAGTGCCAATCTCTGGCTTCTGGTTTTTTGTCATGTACTGATGGAGGGACTCACAAAAGTACGAAGATTTTATTGTAAACGTCTTGCCTAGAAAACACATAATTTTTAACATTTCTTTTAAATGAAATAGTCTTGAATGTACATCAGATTGAGGACATTCTTCTGAATTTATTCCATACTTTGAAGCATACCTGTGCATCAAAAATTGTGATGCTGTATAATTTAAAGATAATGTGAAATCATCATAAATAGGTAAAACCCAGAAATGAGTAAATTGGAAATCGTTCTGCCTATGTTTGTTTATTTCTGGAATACGATTTTGTTTACTGTTGGCCCAGATAAAATCCTCCAGTTGTGGAATTCATAGGGATAAGATCTGGAAACAAAATCTGTGATAACCTTTCAAATAACTTACAATGTTATTCTGTGGTGATTGGCCAGGAATGATAAAGACTGTTGACTGTGTGAAAATTCACTTATTTGTATTGTGCACATTGAGTACAGTCTCTTTTAAGAGTCCCTGCCTGCTCAGGTCCATCCCTAATCCACAGAAATACAGACTTTGGAAAAAATAGTGCTGTCATCTGCTGAGGTTTTTTTTTTTCCTTCTGAGCTAGTGGGTGAAGAACTTTGCTGTTGTAGTCCATCACCTTTGGCTGATGTCCTGCAGTGCTCTTTGGAGACAGTACTGCAAGAGCACTTGAACTTCTGTCCATATGGAATAAAAAGCTCTTGTTCCTAACAAATAGGTTTCTACAATCTGAATTGGTCTCTTAACGTTGCAAGTTCCAGTCTCTAAAGAAGATAGCTCAGGTTATTAATACTTCAATTTTCCTAGAAATCTTTGCCAATTCTCTGATTCGGCTTTGTTTTTGAGTGTGATAGGTGTACTAGGAATACATCTACAATACTATAGACCATTTCTGTATTTATGTTGCTATCCCACTGTGTCATATGACCTGTAGACAGTCTACGTTCTGATACTGGTGAATGAGATTTATTTCAAATTGTTGAAACTCGTTTCTTAGGTACCAGAGCTTTTGGCTTAATCACTGTGTACAGTTTACGCTGTCTGGTATTTGCTATCACATATTTTTAATGGTGACACACCCAACATCTTCAGCTTTAAAATTATTCAGGTGCAATTGCGGTCTTTCACTTCTGTCTTGCAAGCTGTACAAACTAGTTTCCTTGTTCTGCTAAATAAAACTCTGAACGAAGTAGTTTTTCTTATGCAGAAATGCCTTTTTAAAATTACTGTAAACTTTAGGAATGCTAGAAAAATTTCCAGTTAGAACAAATACAACCTATTACCAAAAAACAAAATAAGTATTTGAATACTCAAATCCACAGAATAAATCAAGATAATAAGAGCAGATTAGATAAGCATGGACACGTTTTTTACATCTGTAGATTTTTATTTATTCCTCAGAGTATTATTTCCTTTCTCAGACAATATCAAGTCTCTGTTCAAAGTTTTGGTGAATAATTTATAAAAATTATGAAAACTTGAATGTGAATTGGCCCTTTTGTTTTCATTTAAAACAACAGTTTCAGAAATATTTTTAGAAACAGACCTAAAGAAAAGTCATGGTTATATAGAATGTGCAACCAGAAAATGCAAACAGTAAAAAGCAGTTTTATTAAATGAAAATGTTTAGCAGCATTCCACTGTAAGAGGCTACTGAAAGCGACAACCAGATAAATCAGCACAAAGATTTTACTTGCAATTCCTTGTTTCTGTTTGATAGAACTGGGTTGCAATTAAAAAAATGTATTAGTAAATGGAAATAATCTACTAGTATTTAGGATCATGTCTACTTAATGAAAGATATTAATGTAAAAGTATTTAAAATTGATTTAAATCTATGTATGATACAAAACAAACAAAACCAACCGTGAACATTGTAATTTCATCTCCTTTTTTTATTTCTTGTTGACAAATGAACAGCACAGAAGACATGTGGCACCATAGTAGCATGTTTACAATATAACAGTTGTGAAACAAGTATTTGCAGTTAGTTAGACTTAAATCCCATTTTCTTTTTAACTCAGCTATTCATACAAAATGTCAGTGACAGAACATACAGCAGCAAAAATAGTCCAGCTCTTGTGTTTATTAGATCTCATTGAATCTGTGAAAAGTCCTCCTTTAGTTCAAAAGCTAAATGAGAACTGGAGGTTGTTGAAATTCCTAATCAGGAATATTCGAGAATTACAGTATTTCATTTCTTAAATTTTTTTCTAGCTGACCAATGTCCTTTTTGCAGGGCTAACTACATTTTGCATTGATATCAGTATCAGGAATAGAATGAATGTAGCCTCCAAAGTCTGTCAAAATGCATCCAACATGGACCATGTGATGATACTCCTTGGGGATAATTGCTATGAAAGTACACAGATGTTCACATTTTGGTGGTATCATGTGACTAAAATCTTTATCTCTGAATGCTGTTATGGAAGAAGGAGTAGGTCCTCAAAACTAGACTAGCACAATTATATTGTTTCAAAACTTGATTATAAGTGGTAATAGACTATAAACTTACTTTTTAGAACAGTAGATTTTGGGTTTCTTTTTTTTAGGTTTTTATACATATCTATGTGTATAGTATATTTATATCTCCCAGGAATCTATAATGTTTTTCATGGCCAAAAGTCTAGTGACACTGAACAAAATGTGCAAAGGCAAAGATAGAAGCAAAAAAGAAAAGCCCAAATACAAACAATTCAAGAAATTGTGGTAATGGAAACAAATTCATTTTAGATGAGGTTAAAGGGATTATAACTGAGAAAAAATTTACAAGTCATAGTATTGTTTTACATTGACAATACAGCAGAAAGGACTTAAAAAATAATTTTATAAGATACAGTTTGCCATTTAGATTGTTTTATTTTCTCTTCCTAATTATATTCTTTGAGAACCTTATGTTCTAAATTGCTTTTATACAGAATACAATGTGATCGTATTAGTAATACTTCAAGTAGCCTATTATTTTCTATTATTTATCCATCACGCTATAGGTTGCTTCAGACTAATGAAATTAGGTGGCTGTTTTTTATGTGGGAATGTGTAGCTTTCAAGAGTGGCTCTCTGTCAGCCACTTATTGCTGTAAGTTATTTACTGGAATTGTTGCCTCAGTTTCCTCTTCCCAGAGGAAAAAATAGTGAGAGCTTTCATTGTCCTATGACAATTGCCTATATCAATCTCCAAATAACTCTTTGGGGATGCTCAGCCTATTGCAAAAGTTTTCTACGGTGGTAAAGGTTCCTTGTTCCATAGCTGCAGGTAGGCACAGTATTTAGTTGCTTATCAGTTTTCACATAAGCATCTCCAAGCATCTGTAGAATAATTTTCATTCATTTAAGCTAAAGTAAACATTCTTTGGCCAAATATTTGGCCAAATTGCTGAACAATTTAAAATATGTTCTACTTTCATTTATAACTATCTTTTATTAGCTTGCAAATAGAAATTAGATACTTACTAAGAAGGCTGTGTAAGTCTGCATCTATTATTGTTCTTTAGTTGGCTTATAATGTATTTTAAATTATTGACGTCCCTCTGTGAAGCTTTCTTAGTGAACTTTACAATGTCTATCTGGCAAGAGCAAAAAAAAAAATCTGACTACCTTTATAACATCTATGACCTCTTGAGTAATTTTCATTATTACATAAATGGAGGAAATGCTTTTTATAGAATGCAATGATTTTCCATTTCTGCACACCAGTCAACGTGTACAATACTTTTGGATAGAAGCGTTTTACATTTGAAGGAATGCTATCCTGCTTTTGGATTTTTCTCCGTTTGTCTGGGCTTCAATGCCTTTACTTATTGTTGGACTTCAGTAAACTCTAATATGACCTAAACAGCACAGGTTATAGTTGTGCAATAATTTGTCAGCTGAGGTTAAAGAAACTTTGATGTTGTACTGTTTTCACTACTGGTATACACAGTATACTTATACATTGTTGCTGGGTCTCATGTTGTGACTAAATATGCAGTAAAATGTAATTTAAAATTTCAGCAATTGTAGAAAAAAAGGGGATATTTTTTTCCACAGGGAGATCAGAGTGATGGATGTTCTTGGATGGAAGAATTTAATCTAAAATGTAAATCATCCCTAGAATGGTTTAGCATATATTTTTACAAGCATTGCTACTTTTCTGGGGCCTGTTATTTATTAAGTATACTCAGTACTCCTGATTTTCCTAGGAAGGAAAGAGGGATACATACTAAAATGAACAGGTTGGCTATTTAATCTAGGAGAAATAGTTTTTCTGATTGCCCAATGGAGACTGCTTTTCAATAGTCTGCCAAATAGCACTTAAAAATAAACCACAAGATTTCGCTAAGTAATTATCCTTTTTAGGAATGCAGCTTTCATGCAAACGGATTACTCGCCTGTCATACATGCCTACATGGTCACTCTAACTTTTTTAGTGAATTTGTTCCATTGCTATTTATTTTATGTACATCCTAGCTATTCCACAAAAATATGCATTTAAAATAATTTTGTTTCTTCACTATGCTATCTCTTACTGCTGAAGGGGATATGTTATTTCTGATGAACTCTGCTGTATCACTTAGATTGGAAAGAAGAGAGAGAACTGGAACACTGAAATGCCATATTCACGTTAGGGAGTGTCTCCGTGAAAAGAGAATTGGTGGAAATATTTATTGCATAGAATTTACTGAAATGGAATCTGCACTTACATTTTTCTGGGATAGCACAGAAAAAATACTTGGACATACTTGCTTTGATCCTGGAAGGCCAGGATCAGCAGAATGCTCTTCCCTCCCCCTTCTTGAGAGAACAGCAAATGTTCATGTAGGTTAAAGAGGAATGACAAAGGAATAAAGCACTAGCTGTAGACACTTGCTAGCTAATTAACTATTAACAATACGGAGACTTTGGCTCATAGCTTTGTGCAAGGGACTGGGTGCAAGTTTGAAGAGAGAGGAAGGTTTTAGTTGATTGGATTTGCTTTGCTCATGTACAAGGATCAAGACTTTGCTGGCCAGAAGTGGTGAAAGGTTTGCTTATTGATCAGTACATGGGTTTTGTACAAATTTGTAACTTCCAGTTCTGTGGTGTGGTATAAAAATGTATGGAAGTAAAGAGACGCAGTATTAATGGATCTTAACTGACTGTTACATCACAATGACTTTTGGTACTTGATGTTTATTCCTGATTGAAGAACTTCCTCATATGGTGAAGAATCTCTAAAAGAGTTAAAGCAACTTAAAGGGTATCAGAATAAACAGAGATATTTTCTTTCCATAATAAAACTATGGTGATACGTACAGTTTTAAAGAACAATGGGAATGTGTTGTAACTTGTTAATGTTTTGTTTCAGTTATAGCTGAAAAACCAAAAACATCCAGTCAGATAAAATGATGTTCATACATGTTAAAATCGTGATGGTTTGTATTAGCTTAAACTGGCAGATAATGGATGAAGTGCTATTCAAAGAATTTTGATGACCACAAGGGAGATCATTTAGAGTGTAAAAAGGCAGATGGAAATGGTTAGGTAACTTTTAAGAGTTCATACCTGTGGTTCAGCTTCCAAATTTATCTTGAAGGGATGTGCTTTGCCGTCTTCTGAAACTTGTGGGGACCATAATTTAGTTCCTGCCCTAGAAAGAAAGAAAGGCAGAATTTAAATAACTCTAATTCCTATAGAGTTGTATATGTCCCTCTAAAATATAATGCAGCTTGAAAATTTGCAGTTTGTTCTATGCTTTTTTAATGTTTTTGACATGAAAATACTTTAACAATATATAATGTGTACTATATGTGAACAATATATAAAAAGTGTATTTACTTTTAAAAAAATTACATGTAATATGAACAATGGGAAATAATTTGTTAGTAGTTACCAAAAGCAAAGGGAAATTAGTGCTTTTCTGACCTGAGCTGACCAAACTTTTTACAGTTTTGTATTTTTAATAGTTGATAGAAGGAATGTTGAGTCCTCAGACTATTTTGCACAAATAAGTGAATATATTAGTAATAATCCTGAACTAGAGCAATATCAATTTCTTTTTTTATGACCACAATATCCATGCAAAGCTAGCTTTTCGATGTAGGAGGAGTGCAATCTAGGTACGCAAAGTATATGTGCAATTGTAAATAGAAGTTGCATAGGTGATTCTTTCAGTCACTGAAGCAGAGATAACAAACATACAAATACCAGTTACAATTCTGTCTTCATCGACAAAGCGAAATTTGGCAGCTAATTTTAAAATAGTGTAATATTAATGTTAAATGTTAATCTAGTAGTTTGTTATATAAATACAAATATTTAGCATTTTAAAATGTGCACATATTTCATAGGCACAATTACACTTATCATATTTTGAAAGTTACTTCCTAAGAGAGTTGCTAAATGGCACATATCAATCTGTAACAGAATCTGGAATTAACTGCAAGAATTTCTTAACTGTGGTACGTGCTCTAGCAGTTAGACAATGCTCCTTCCCCCAAAAAAAACCAACCTTCTGTGTTTGGAAAGGAGTATTGTGATCAGCTGTAATAAAGTGCTGTGCCTCCTTGAGGGCCTCAGGACAATCAGAGTTATCTGATTCTTGGAGACACCCGAAAGAGTGTGCGAGGCGAATCTGATTAAAGGCTGAGCAAACTCATTTAGGAGATGTGAAGATGCAGATTGTTTCTCTTACTGGCTTTAGTTGAGAGAAATGAATGCAAAGTTTCTGGACTCCTGGAGTTTAGGAAAGAGAGGGTTTTCTAGTTTTGTTTTGTTTTTAATATTGCTTTGAGAATCCTGTATTTGGTTTAATACATTGTGACCAAAGAAGTGGGCTTTAAACCCCCTCCTTTGTCACCCCTTGTAAGAGTCTGACATGATGTTGCTTTCCTTAACTGGGAGGATATACTAGCAGCTTTGTCTGTGATTGGGAGCAGGAGGCAATGATAAGCACCTGTGGCTGGGAGAGCGTTAGAGCAGAGAGGCAACTGAACAAAGGAGAGCTAGCTGAGGGTTTTATCATTTCCCAAAAATATGAAGAACTGTTTGTTTACTGACAGCAAACATAGGACTTGCGGAGTCAGCAGAGGCAGTAGGTGGTACGGTTCACAGCTCAATAAATGTGGTGAGTAGCCTGAGGGAAGCTATTCTTCTTGTGCCCATGAAGACGTCTTCTGGGGAGTCTTGCCTGATCTGAAGTTGGTGAGGTAGGTCTGCGTGCTTGTCATTTTAAAGGTTTTGTGAAATTCTTAAAACTATTTAAAATAGTTACGCTATATAATAGTTGTACTGTATAATGAGTTGGTTGGGTAGTATCTTCTTTCAGAAGTAAGCAGACAGGTACACATACCTCTCTATTTTCAAACAAAGCTGATGTGCAGCTGCTTTAATTCTCTCCTGGGCATCGTTGTGTGTCATATTCTCTGTGCTTAGCCCATCAATAGCTATAATAACATCACCAGGACACAGGTTGGCAGCTGAAGCCTTGCTTCCAGGTGTAATCTGGAAAAAAACAAAATTTAACTGCTTAAGCACCATGCATACCTGAAAATTGATAGAGAAAATAAACTTCCCCATACTTCCCTATTTCCTCTTGGGTTGGGGAGGGAGGCGGGGAGTGGGCCTGTAAACAACTATATGATTGCTTACAAAAAAAGTGAGTTCTTAATCCTGCCAGGCCCTCTGTAGTTCTGTTGTCAGATCACCATATAAATGCTTTATTCATCATAACTTCAAATTAGATGGAAATTATCTTCACACTTCTGCATTAAATAGTTTCCACTCTGATTTCTGTAGTTACTGTAACTTGTCTTTGAATCTTCTGTCTCAACTGCCATTGTGTAATTTGCTTGAAAAAAACAGTTAAGTTTTTCCCTTACAACTCCAGGCAATAGCAGAAGAATAGAACTGTTAAGAAATTGTGCTACTTAATGTTTATGTGCATGATGTGCCATTGACTGGATAATATAGAAAGCCACTTGTGGTCTTACCACATTTAAGGACAAATACAGCAGTTAGTGTGTTTTCTGCTAGCCTGGCATCTCATGTTGTATCACTAAATAATCATAAATATGCTAATAATACTGAAATGACATTTTTCTCTTTATTCATGTCTAATCCAGGCCCTGAACTCCTTAAAGTGCTTAGCTTTGAGTCCCATTGCATTTGACTAACAGTGGTGCTGATCCTTCAAAGTGATCTGTGTGGTGCAATTCATACCTCATGGAAATGTAGCGATGTCAGTGACATTCATAGAAATAGCCCTAAGCTTGTCTTTCTATGCTAGCTTTTTTTTGGTCTTGTTGATAATCTTCTACATCATAGTTAAAATAATTGCAATGCATCATAATTCTGTTTTAAAGTAACTACTGTAGAGAGGCCATGACCTTAGGTGCTACTAAAGCTTGTTCTAGAATTGCAGGCGTTTATTTGCAAACGGACGACTTCTCATACCACCACACCATTTAAACAGGTCTTTGGTCACTGAGTGGGATTTAGGTCCCTTAGGTGTGTATTGCCATTTTAGGTGACCTTTGATAACCAAGACAGCAGTGTGAAATTGATGGATGTAGCACATAAGCTTCTGGAACTCAGCTCTTCTTGACAGAACAAAGGGGACAGGTTGGTTCATCTAAAATAACACTAGCTGCTTATTTTTAAGTAAAAGTGAAGGACAAAAATACTAATATAGCCTTATTTGCAAGAGCAGTTCTCTGATCTGTGCCATGTATGAAGTAAAAAAGCTGTTGGAGAGAATTTATCTCACAATGGGTTCTGCTACAGCCAAAGCAAGTGCTATCTCAATTATTAAAAGTAATCAAGTGCTACGGAGGACTGGAAAACATGCTATGGAGACGTTCTTCAATTCTGATGTTTCCCAGTTTTCCAGGAGATGAAGAGAGTAAGCTGCCCAGTATACCTCCAGTATGTTCTGAACACTAGCTATGGTAAACCTGGCAGACTTGTTGCCTCTGAAGGTGACAGTAGTAACTATCAGCATAACAGTCAAATAGAAATATTCTTTCTGATATGTGTTGTGCTGTATTAGTAGTGAAACAATGGCAAAAAATCAACCAAATAGAGTCATTCTCTCCTCTTTCCAGCTGTCCATCTCTGTTAGGTGGGTCTGAATGCTCAAAGAACTTAGAGTTTGTTTTGTGGGCTTTTTTCTGCATTCCAGCCTGTAAACTTGTTTTATTTCACTGTAACAAGCTGCAATGCATGTGCTATTATCAAGTCAGGCGAACTTTCCAAATGGGTACTTGTGGCTAGCTGGAGACTTTCACCCCCTCACCCTCCAAAAGAATGGACTCCTGTATTGTGTGCTTAACAAAGTGTTAAGGTGCCTGAATAATCTGTTTGAGGATGAATCGAGGAATTTGCTCATAAATTCTAAGTCTGGAGTCTCCAGAATATTCTGTTTCTCAAACTTCAACATCTGTAAGTGTAAATGAACTACACTGCGACCACTTACATTATTGTAATAAGACCAGGGTAGTGGTGTGATAATGCTTCTCCCTTTAACCTGGAATGGCTCCTGACTTTGCTTAGCATGTTGCGGACATGCGTGGAATGACAAACCGCAGCAGAAGTCCTAGCGTTCGAGTGTAACTGTTGATGATCTAATACCCAAAATGGGCAAAACCAGCCATTCTTGGTTCCCTCTCAAGAGTAAGCTTGCTTGAATAACCCTTATATGCTTTTTACGTGCCACAGCAAATTATCTGCTGTATCTGTGGCATACCTCAGCGGTGTACCGAGATAATGATCCTGCCTTATAAAGTAGCATATCTGTCTAGCAGCTGCAGCTGTGCTGCTAGCAGGACCTAAACCCAGTCTGTGTTGCTGGTAATAATGTGTAATCCCTTGGATTTTCTTAACATATTGTCACCAGCTGCAGTGATACCGCTATATGGTTGGATGGGGTTACCATCGTTTGGTGGGAGCAAGGAGGGAAAGGGGCAGGAGTCTGTATTTCCTATTCCTTAGCTCAGTTGATTACTGCGAGGCTTCTGGGACGTGTCTGTTGGGCCTTAATGCCTTGATGGGGGTGCTGAGCTCTACTTGCGCAGGCCTTCTGGGGTGCAGAACTACCTGCCCTCGTATAATCCTCTCCCTCATTTGCTCTTCCTGGGTTTGATGGAAAGAGCTGGAGATCTGCTGCTAGGATGGGGTAGGAGGAATACGGCCAGGTGCCAGCTCTTCTCTCTCCTCAGTATTTCAGGGGCAAATCTTAACTATTGCTTGTGGGGAAGGGGGGCAGACAAAAGTAGTGCAGCCTACATTTTATAGAAAGGGACCAGGTTGTGCATTGCAAGATCATACCATATCATGGGTATAATATTGATATTGTGGGTACCTTGATAATGCAAGTGATACTGTTTCTTAAAGAACTTATTAGTGATGCATTAAATGTGTATTGTGAACACTTAGAATCATATTATGACTGTAGCGTTTGTTGCTTGCTCACCCCTGCTGCATGAGGTAGATTCTACTGGTGCTTTGGGAAAATGTTTGCCTTGCTCTTCAAGATGTGTCTATATGGCATGCCTGTTGCTCCTGTATCCTAGGTATCTCAGATTTGGATAAATGCAAGGATATGTGTCAAGCGTTCAGATGTTGTCAGAGACTAGATAACTATTTAAGCACATGAGGGGCAATGTCTCCTATGAAACTTTGAAGAAAACCTCTCTGCATCTGTTAATAGACTTGTGAAGCTCATCATGGCACTCCTTCATAAATATTTCGGGCTCTGTTTTCTGAAGAGAATTATGAACGTCTGCAGACAGAGTAGCTAAACATAAAATTGAGTTACTATAAATACTTGCATTGCGATCTGTAAAGGTTTATATTAAAATAGAACTTAAATCTAGAGTTGATAATATTTCACCATTCCCTCCAACCTCTACAAGTTTTAATTGTTTCTGTAATATTTTGTTCAATATGACTTAAATTCTAGGATTGCATTCCTCTAAACACTTAACCCAAAATGTTATCTTCTGGTCAGAATAAACTGAAGTTATTCAGTTTCATGAAGACTAGGGTTTTGATCAGTTTCCTTGATGTAATTTCTTTGCATCTATGTAAAGTTTCAAAGATTTTAAGAACTGTTTTCATTATTTCTAGTTAATTTGTTGTTTCCAACCCTAATAGAATCTGAATATGTCTATTTTTAGTCCCCTCCTGTTCTTCCTACCCTCCCAGTGATCATGATCTGTGGTTTTTGCATTTGCTTGAAACAGTCAAGAGAATTGCCTTGCTTGGGAAATCGCAGATGGGCTTTTGAGATGACATCTGTTCTTTAGACAGGTGGATGATGATCTCTTCTGTTGTCTGTCTCTCTTGACAAGTCCTGGTAAAAGCTTTCTCTTGTTGAACAAGGGCTATATCCAATCAAATTTAACACCTGTCCAATTATTTTATTCAAAATGTGTTTAAAAATAATTTCTATTTATTGTTTTAATGGCTAATAATTTTTTTTTCTTGCCAGGACAGTTAAGCCAAATGTGAATGGGCTGCTGGTGATACCCTTTATGAAAGTAACGCCTAGGCCCCAAAAAGCGAGGCATATGAATCTTGCAAAGTATTCATTCCTTCTTAAAGGGTACTGCATGAATACTTATTTAGGCACTCTTCTAAATGTATGCTCCGGCAACAGAAATATTAATTTTAAACAAATCTACCATTAATATTCTTGAACTTGAGCTACGCAAATTTAAACACGTCATTTTCCCCTATATGTATTTTATTTCATAACTCTACTTGAAATGTGATTTTGAGCATTTCTGTAATATGCTAGAAACCAACGGCTTATGTCTTGTGAGGCATTTGGTAGGTATGAGTCAATTGCAAAATCATTTATTCTTTAGAAAGTTACATTTATAGTAACATGCTTTGTTATTGCAGTTTTAAACTTCATTGCACTTAATCTAAACAGAAAGAAAATACAAACCAGACACCGCTAAAATATTTTTCGTTAGAGATAATGGAAACTATTTGTCTTTTGGAGGCCCATAAAAGGTAACGAAGGCCCCAAAACATCCAGAGATTTTTTTTTCTTTTTTATTCAGTGTTTTTGTCTTCTGTTTCTCTAAAGGTTTTGCTATGTCCTACGAGTATTTGTTGTGAAGCTACATACAGTCAAATAATAGCATTCTGGTTTACTTCTGCTTAAAATCAGTAAAATCTTTTATGCTTATATAAACCTGGAATAAATGAATAAATAAAATTAATTTTTACTAGTATAATATGTGAAAGGTTGGTCCTTAAACTTTCTACAGACTCTTGTTTAGAAGCATGTTTACTGCAAGGCATCACCAGTGGTATCCATCCTTCAAGGCTCTTGACGTTTATTTAATACCAGGCATAGTGTATATATTGAGTCATAGTGCAGGGCTTTAAAAAAAAAAAAAAAGCAGTGGTGCTTTGGAGGCTCATGGAACACAGGCTCACTGTGTCTGAGGTTCTGAAAAGCAGCAAAAATATATGGAGAACTAATTCTAGTCTGATGTGCATCGAACACAATTTTCAAAATATACAAATTATCAAAATACATATCCTGTCTTTTGAGTCTATGTCTGTAGATGCAGGGCAGCTGACAGTGCTTTGTGTGTTCCATTCATTAACTGGTTTCTTAAATAAATTGCAATTAATAGCTCAAAATCCATGAAAAAATGAAGACTCGGATTCTTGCCCTTTATTGGGGGGTGAGGTAAATTGTTTGTTTCTAAATATGGCAGAAAACACCAAAGAACTCTCCCCTTCATGTTCAGGACTGGATAACTTTCTAATAAATCACGGATTTAACATTCATGAAAGTGAAAATCTTTACATATGTAAAAACAGGTGCTGTTGCCTTTGCTGGCAATAAGCAGAACTTGATTTAATTAAATGAGAGTCAGATTAAAAGTTGGCAGAGTTTGCAAAGCACAAACTTCCAGACATGAGGAGCTGCTGCCAAGTAGTCTTCTCCCCCCGGTGATCACAGAGGCTAGTTGTGAAAATGATAAAAGTGGGGTCTGGCCTTTAGTAGGCTCAAAACTAATTTTCTCATCTGAATGCCTGGGGAGATCATGCCAGAGTTTTTCTGCTGCCAAGGCACTTAAATTCAATTTTTTTGAGGCATAAGTAGAAATGCAGTTAAAGTCTCTTAGACCAATAAAGCAGTCCCAGAAACACGTCACATGAAACTTGTAAAAACTGTTAGCATTCAGCTGGCTCTCCTCAGAACTAGCGGCTACTTGCTAATCTACTCACAGCTTCATCTGCATCTCTGAACTCCAGAAAAGTAAAGGGCAAAAATCTGCAATCACTAATAAATGTAATAAATAGAAAGAGTACATACCCTGGTTATGATTAAGGGTTGGTTAAAATCTATTCCTCCTGAGAGCCTGAATCCCCAGGGTGCTGGTCCTTGGAGAATAACGTTTTGTGGCATTCTGGGCAGGTTTTTCTTGGTTACTGTTCTTTTTTCCTTAGGTCTGTGTGAGGAGCTGAGCTGTAGGAGGAAGGGTGCTGTCAGCAGAGCACCTGCCGGACAGGGCAGCCGACCTTGTGTACCTCTTAGGAAGTTTTACTCGTCCCACAGCTGCAGGCACTGCACTTTATCTGCGCTCTCTGGGTGACGTCAGCCAGTCCCTCAGCTTCTCCACCCACAGAGGGGAGTATCAAACTTGGACAAATAAAGCCTGAATGCTGGAAAGTTTACAACAAATACATCAGCTTTATCTGCTGCTTCAGCGTCCCCCTCAGTTCGACGATCAGTAAGCTTCAGGATGCATTGTCCTTCTGGTTTCTTAAAGCAACCCTGTTGCTCATTTGATCTCACGCTGATTACGTTGCTGGTGCCTATTTCAACTATGCAATGCATAGTTCTAACTTTGTACACGATTCTGTTTCATGTAAACAGAAATATCGATAAGGAGATGTCCCTCTCAAGCTCTTGTTTTACATCTCTTCTTATTTGTAATGTAATAGTTTATTGCACTGCAAAGTCCTTCCAGCCCTTCAGCTGAGTGTTTTGGCTACAGTCACTTGAGACCATGGCATGCACCAGCTCTAATGGCTTGAAAAATCTGGGGTGATGTCATGCGTGTCTCTCATACTGAGGAAAAGAAATGCAGTATTAGTTGATGATGTCTCTTCCCTTTGTAGAAATCTTAGCTTTTTTTTTTTTTTTTTTTTTAAGGTAGTTGCAGCTACCTTGTGTTGCTTGTTGATGTTAGTGGAGAAATATTTTGCATTCCTGTTGGTTTTCTTGCATCGGCTTGATCAGCTTTATTCTAACTTCCATATCCCTTATATTTTCTTCAAAAAGAAAGGGACAATTTTTCAGTGATGGTGTACGTGTTCACTCTCATATCGTGTTGTTACAGATTTCTCTTTATATGTGGTGTTAGCAAAGTGAATATGTGCATGGGTAACGTTCTTCAAGCATTTCTTTGCCCAAAGTTTGGCCTATTCTAGGATAGTATCTACAGCTCTCATCAGGCAGGATTTTTAAATTCTTCTTTTTTTTTTTCCCCTTATTTTTATTCCCCCCCAATGAGTCAACAGCAAGTCAGTGAGAGCTTGGAAAGAATAAAACTCGAAATAAAAACCTCTTACTCTGACTTGTTGAATGTCCTTTATCTGTGTCTGCTGCTAATGTCTATGTAATTGAAGTCCTTCTCGGTAAGATATTCTGAGTAGTGGTGGGAGTTGTGGTGGTTTTTTCGTGGTGTGGGGTTGGCTGGTTGGTTTGTTTGTTAGCATTATGAAGGTTAGCCTCAGAATTTTCTTCTGGTGTTTGTCCTTTATTTGTGGCTTGATAGTAGTGTTCATCATGGGCTTTTGTATTTGTGTTCTTGTCCAGAATGTTTCAAAGACCTTCTGTATCATTAGAGTACATCTGACATCCTCATTGGAATAAAATAAATGGTAGTAACTGTTTCAAAGAAAAGTATCAGAAAACGTACCTATATCACAAAGATCTTGCAGTGTGACAGTTGTCATGAGCTTGTAGGGGCATAGCTTGCGTTAGGGATGTGAAGGAAGATAGGCACATTGAAAGAAATAAGGCAAGGCAGATATGTAGTTCAGGGGTATATAAATCTTGGTAGCTTAAGTATTTTGTATGTTTTGGAGCTGAGGGAGAAAACCTCATACTGATTGTGAGCAGTGTATATACTCTGATATGTTCTGACATGTTTTGAGGTTGATTCACTGTATGCCTTCAATATATTGATGCTCTGTGTGGTTCATCCTGCTGGATTGCATTGTGTGTTCAGGGCCACAATTTATCACTTAGTAGTACTGCAGTTTCTTACCTTTTCTCTTCCTCCCTGATAGCTGTTTTGAGTGAAAACACTTTTGTGTTTGGTACCCTTTTTTCCTCCCCTCTTTTCCTAGTGAATCCTGTGATGTCTTTTGTAGCTGGGAACACATAGCATATTAGATGTATTCATTTAAAGAGTTCCTTCATGTGCAATTTGCATTTTCTTTTTCATTGAGTACTGGCTATCTCAGATAGTGAATTCTTCAGTGCACTTCAATAGAAAAAGATTCAGAAATATAAGAATTTCCGTATCACGTCAAACCCATGATCAGACTCTTGAGTTTCCAGTGTCAGAAATCAGATACTTCTATAATAACTTGCTCACTTGGGAGGTTTCTTTGAAATTCCTGTTGATAAGTTATTGGCTTATATCTTAATAGGTAGGCTTACATTTATTTATTTATTTATTTTAGAAATCCCCTTAATTTCAAATCCTGCTAATGGGGTGATCATTTAGGGGCAGCTATTAGTTGGTGAAAATAATTTGGGATTGCTTAAGTGTCCATAAAGTTTGTTCATGTCTCTATTACACTGAGATCCGTTCATGGGTACCTTCTAATCTTGTCAGATACATGTAGGGGGAGGACAGGCTTAACCTTTTTCTAAGCAGGTGAGTGCTCTTAATTTCAGTGGAAGTCATATACTTACATGATACCGAGCTCTGGATCAAAGATTTCTTTTTTTCTGCCTGGTTTACGGGAAGGGTGACTTGCTCTCCAAGGTGCTGTTGTTCCAGACACCACTTGCTAGATCCTGTTTTATTGATGTATCACAGGTTGAGCTTTGAGTCTATTGACACTTTTTTTTCCCCTAAAACTCTCAAAAAACCATATGATTTTAAGGGCAATACTGAATTGATGCTTGTGACATAAGGCTGTTTCCTAGTTTCTTTTCAGTGACTGCCTTTAAGAGAGTACTTCACCCATTGACAGAGCATGCATACATTTTTTGTTTAATCTCCTTCTGTTTTTTCATACCAGACCAAGACGACCAGCTGAGCTGGATGGAGGCTAGAGCCTTTTATCCACTTAATAAAGGTATATTCCTATCAGTAAAGTAAAGGCTATTTTCTTTTCCTCTGTCTGGTTTTAAGTCAACTTACATGTAAGAATATCATCCTAGGGCAGGCTTTGCTAGACATACTGAGTAGCTTCTAAGTAAGTGTCCTGGTTTCAGCTGGGATAGAGTTAATTTTCTTCTTAGTAGCTGGCATAGTGCTGTGGTTTGGATTTAGGATGAGAATAATGTTGATAACACACTCATGTTTTAGTTGTTGCTAAGTAGTGCTTACACCAGTCAAGGACTTTTCAGCTTCCCATGCTCTGCCTGGCACACAAGAGGCTGGGAGGGGGCACAGCCAGGACAGCTGACCCAGACTGGCCAAAGGGCTATGCCATACCATATGATGTCATGCTCAGTGTCTAAAGCTGGGGGAAGAAGAAGGAAGGGGGGGACATTGGGCATGATGGTGTTTGTCTTCGCAAGTAGCCATTACACGTGTTGGAGCCCTGCTTTCCTGAGGATGGCTGAACACCTGCCTGCCGACGGGAAGTAGTGAATGAATTCCTTGCTTTGCTTTGCTTGCGCACGCGGCTTTTGCTTTACCTATTAAACTGTCTTTATCTCAACCCGTGAGTTTTCTCACTTTTACTCTTCTGATTCTCTCCCCCATCCCACCGGGGGGGAGGGAGGGAGCGGCTGTGTGGTGCTTAGTTGCTGGCTGGGGTTAAACCGCGACAGCAAGCAAATCTTGAAATTAAAGATTCATTGTAATGAAACAATATGAAACCGAGTAGGATGAGTCTTCTAAGATAATGACAGTACAGATTTCAAACTACGTATTTAGCTGTAGCTCTCCTCATCATTTTGGATTTCGTAGTAGTTCTAGCTATGAAAATGGATTTTTGTAAATATGTATGACTTTTTAAGTTGTTTTTTTTTTCTTGTTCCATTGAAGCTTCCATACAAGAGAACAATTACTTTCAATAGCTTTTCTTGTTTTGTTATACTATAAGACCATTGGTGTTACAACTTTTCTTACCTGCAGATATACATCCTTTGATTTAATGGCTGTGCTATGAATTTATATATAAAGTAGCCTTCTGAGAACCGTAATATAGTGTTTTGGTTTGTAGTATGACTAACCATAATGTTTGAAGCAGGCTCTTGCTCTCTAGATTGGTATTTCATTTGATTTTTGTGCCAAACGTTATCTTTCTACTCAATGCAATCTGTAAGAGTATAACCACTCTTTTTTTTTTTTAAACTCACCCAGGGGCAGGGTAAGCTGTGTGAACTTTCGTCATATCACTCAAGTTTTTGAGATTTTGGGGGGTGGGGGCACAAATTAGGTATCAGAGTAGTAGCGTGGTGTACAAATTCATCATTGCATGCTGTGCCACCTCACTAGCTTTGGACAATCAAAGCCCTGTGCCCACGGCACGGCATCATTTTCCTCTGGCATTACTGAAAGGCACACTTCCTAACTCATGTCAGAATATTCTGGATGTCGGTTTTCTATTTTCTCTTCCAGTGTGTCCCTGCCTTGATGGAAGGCAATGTTGTTTTCCTGACGCTTTGGCAGACTGAGAGTTGAAAAATAAGTTATAAGTAGCAAATGCTTAACACCAGTTCATCCTTCTGTAAACTCATGGAGTGCTCTGTTGTAGGCTGCAGAACTAGAATAAACCCTGGTAGAGGCAGAAACAAAAAAAACCTCTCCAGAGTGTGTATTCTAAGGCATAAATCTCCTGTCCTATTTCAGAGCTTAGTCTCTGTCATGATAAACTGTACTGGACTAGGCCACTGTTTGTGAAGTTTAGACAGTAACAGCTTAGGATACCAAATGGAGCTTGAAAATCACTTGCACGTGTGGAACAGCATGTACTTAAACTGGCTCTCCAGAGGTGAAAGGCCAGAGTATTCCCTATGCACAGCCTGCTTTCAATTTCAAAACACATGGGTATATGGAAAATCTTATAATAAATACTACTTATTTTAAAACAATTTCCCAAAGCAGTAAGGTATGACTGTTTATGTACAGTTTGAAGTTTTTCCTAATTGCACAGTCAGGGAG